ATCTTCTGATCAGCCTGCTTTGGCACCTGCTGCACTTCACTGCAGTCATACAGTCCTACAGCACAGGAGAGGTCCTTTGGCCCATCAAGTCTGCATTGACCTATCCACACCAATCCCACTTTCCAGCACTTGGCCTATTGCCTTGAATATTATGGCATTTCAAGTGCTCACCCATGTACTTTTTAAAGGTTGTGAGGTATCCCAACTCAACAATCCTCCCAGTTGGTGCATTCCAGATTCCCACCACCCTTCTGGTGAAAAAAAATCTTTCCTGAAATCCTCTCTAAACCTCCTGCCTTCATCTTATACTAATGCTCCCTTGTTATTGACTCTTCAACGAAGAGGAACAATTACTTCCTACCCATTCTGTCTATTCCCTTCATAAACTTCAATCAGGTCTCGTCTCATCCTTCTCTGGTGTAAAGAAAACAAGTCTGTTCATAGATAAACTGCTCTATCTCAGGCAACATCCTGGTGAATCTTCTCTGCACCCCCTCCAGTGCAATCACATCCTTCTTATAGTGAGGTGACCAACACAGTGCTGCACACAGTGCTACAGCTGTTGCCTAATGAAATTGATTTTTTAATATAACCATTCTGCTCTTATAACCTATGCCATGACTGATGAAGGCAGTGTTCCATATGTCTTCTTCGCCATTCCATTATCTTGCCCTGCTGTTTTTAGGGACCTTTGGGCAAGCACACCAAGATCCCCCTGTTCTTCTGACCTTCCTAGTTCTGCCATTCATTGGGTACTCCCACTTCTTTCAAAGGGCATTACCTCACAGTCTCGGGCCTACGTGAAAGGCTTCAGATCTGAAGCATGACTGCCCATCTATGAAACAGAAAAACAGTACTGTGGGAGTGGGAGGATGTCATGGAGTTGACAAATTAAAAAAAAATGACAGGACTGGTAGTTCCCAGTACTGAGGGGATAATCTGGCCATGAGCGTCTGTGCTTCTCTTTGAATGTGATTAGGTGCTTGAACAACCTGACATTAATGCTGCTTATGCTGAGAAACCCATTGCAGCAACTCACCAAATGTTCTTCAACAGCGCCCTCCCAATCTTTACTCACTGAGTAAAGAACACGATTAATAGTTGCAGTACTACTGCTGGTTAGTAGAAGTGAAACACATAAGTATTGTGTAGGTACCATGTCTTCTATCAACCTCTTAAGGGGTTTGACTGACAAAACCATTGCATAGAACTTTACAAACATCTGCTTCCATTTAAGTCGATGGACATTTTCAGGCAGTTGTATGAGGATATGTGACTGGAACTTTACAGATGAAGCAATCCACTGAAGGTACTGTCTCGTTCAGGCATCCTCTCCCCATACATGTGTCAGAAAGTAGACAATCCAGCCTGTCCCCACAGCATAGGACTTGACAGTTGCATGGCTTCTGCTTGATGTCATCAGCAGTTTAGGTTGCAACAAATGGTAAAATACTATCATTGCGAATGTCAACTTGTGACGACAACTCTATTCAGTAATGCTCAGGAAATATGCCTAGTTGTATATGCGTGGCTGTTCAGATAATGGTAAGTGCATGCAAACTGCCTCTAATGTGAAAACACTTGCTTCATAGCACTTCATTCAGCCTCTTCTTCCATCTCCATAATGGTCTGCAGATGACACATGAAATTAAGCAATTTTAATTCAAGCAACCAAAATGTTCACTTTCCAGGTAGGACTCAAATGCTCATGAACTTAACAGCTATTTAATGTGTTGGCTGTTTAAAAAGTTAGATCCAATTGAAAAAAACAGGGCTTTTCTGCTTGACCTTATGTCCCTACAACTTAGGAGTGTGCCAAATTGCAAGCTTTGAGAGCTTCTGACCAGCAAGGCCAGCTAGAAATTGTTACACTGTATGTTGAATTGGAATCTAATAAATTAAATCATCAACTATTTCCTGTTTTCCTCTGCCAATTGCACATGCTTGCACTGGTATGAAATTTCCACCCTATTTACGAGATTTGGGAGTTACTGAATCATCTTTGGACGCTTTTCTTCATATTATTTTTATTTATTCATTCATGGGATGTGGGCATTTTTAGCTAGGCCAGCATTTATTATCCATTCCTAATTGATCTCGAGAATAGGGTGGTCAGCTGCTTTCTTAAAATACCAGAGTTGAAGTTTAGGTACAACCACGGTGTTATTAGTGAGGGAGTTTGAAGATTTTGACTTTGTCACAGTAAGCCACCCATTTCAACATCAGGATGACATGTAGCTTGGAGAAGACCTTGCAGTTGGTTGTGTTGCCATGTGCTGGGATCACAGGTTTGGAGGGTGCTGCTGAAAAATGCTTGGTGAGTTGCTGTAATGAGATTTATTTATGGTCACATATATCTAGAAAGACACAATGAAAAATGATTTGTAATTACAATCCAGCATCATTTTGAGTTACAAAAGAATAAAATGAAATTACATAAATAGCATTCATCTTCTGTACAAGAAGTCTTCATACACAGCTCCACGGCTCCTGCTAATTCTCTGCAAGGTGTCCCAGGCCTTAAGGAATCCCCGTCCTTCAGATCTACTGCAGCCAGGAGACCCTGCTCTGGGCACTGCCTCTGCCACAGCAACCCGCCGCAGCCAAGAGTCTCCATCTGGGCACCACCACTGACACAGCCGACGATTTGTTGAGCACCACCATAGATGGCAACCCACCGAGTCCATGCTTCAAGCCTACCACAGCCTGGAATCCTTGCACCAGGCATTACCACCACGAAAGCAGAAGACCCACCAAGTCCCTGAGTCCACACTCTGGGCCTACTGAGACCAGAAGCCCTCACTCCGGGCACCATCACTGCTAATGATCCACCGAGTCCATGCTCTGGCCTCCTCGTGACGTCAGAAGATGAAGAAAAGAAAAAACGAGGAAGGAAAAGATGGGAATGGAGAGAAAGAGAAGGATGTGGCCAGCTTGGAACAGATGGGCTTAGGCACCTGAATACTACCTACCATGCCGGCGCTGTCATTTTGAGGTCTAGTATGCCATCATGTAAATGTTATACACTGATGCCACTGTGCCTTAATGGTAAAGTGAATGGGATGCCAATTCAGCAGGCTGCTTTATCCCATATAGTATTAAGATTCTTGACTGTTGTTGGAGCTGCAATCATCCAGGCACATGTAGAGTTTTCAATCACACTCCTTACTTATGCTTTGCTTATGAAAATGGACAGACACTGGGAAGAGATCAGGCGAATTATTCACCACAGAATTCCAAGCCTCTAACTTGCTCTTGTAGGCACAGCATTTATATGGCTGGTCCAGTTCAACTGTAACCTCCCAGAATGTTGATAGTGGGGGAATTCAATTATGGCAATGCAGTTGAATGTCAAAGCGTGTTAATTAAATTCTCTTGTGTTGAAGGTGGGTATTGCCTGAAATTAACGTGGCTTAAACATTGCTCATCACTTATCATTCAAGCCTAGATGATGATGTCCAGGTCGTGGACACATGCTGCTTCAGTATCTGAGGAGTGATAGAATGGCACTAAACATTGTGCAATTATCAATAAACATCCCCAATTCTGATCGTATTATGGATCGAAGATAATTGATGAGGCAGTTGAGGATGGTTGGGCCTTGAACTCTACATCTGAGAAAATCCTGCAGTGATGTCCTTAGACGGAGATGATACTGTGAGGGAGAGAGTTCAAGATTTTGACTTAATGAGAATGAAGGGACAGCGATATTGCTCCAAGCTAGAATGGTAATTGGCTTGGCGGGGAACTTGCAAGTTGTGATCATAGAGTCATAGAGGTGTACAGCACAGAAACAGACCCTTCGGTCCAACTCATCCATGCCGACCAGATATCCTAAATAAATCTAGTCCCATTTGCCAGCATTTGGCTCATATCCCTCTAAACCCTTCCTATTCATATACCCATCCAGATGTCTTTTAAATGTTCTATTTGTATCAGCATCCACCAATTCTTCTGGCAGCTTATTCCGTATATGCACCACCATCTGCGTGAAAAGGTTGCTTCTAAGGTCCCTTTTAAATCTTTCCCCTCTCATTTTAAACCTATGCCCCTTAGTTTTGGACTTCCCCACCGCAGGGAAAAGACCTTGTCTATTTACCCAATCTATGCCCATCATGATTTTATAAACCTCTATCATGTTACCTCTCAGTCTCTGACGTTCCAGGGAAAATAGCCATCATCTATTCAGCCTCTCCCTACAGTTCCCTATAATGGTGTTCCCACAAATTTGTTGCCCTTGTTCTTTTAAATGGTAGAGGTTCTGGTTTTGTAACACACTATTTCAGAAGCTATAGTGAGTTGTTACAATGCATTTTGTAGATGGTACACACTGTGTTTCGGTGGTGGAGGGCCAATCAAGCAGGTTGCTTTGTCTTGGATGATGTCAAGCCTTGTAACTGTTTTTGGAGGTGCACTCTTCAGACATGTAGAGAGTCTTCCATGATGTGCTTGACTTGTGCCTTGTAGATGGTGGATGAGTTTTCGTGAGTTGGGAGGTGAGTTAATACATGCAGAATTACTGGCCTCTGATAAGTTCTTGTATTCACAACATTTATATTATGTGGAATTGTAAAGCCATAAAACTCAAAATGTGTATGTGTCAGTCAAGTTTGGAAAGCATGACTTTTTCTGATTTACCCATCATTATATCTGAGGCATATATCCAAGACAAATATAATTGTCACTTTGAAGAATAACATGGGATGATTTTGAACTTTAGCAGTCCTGGTACATATAGAAAATAGATTTCAGAATGTTCCCTACTTTAATAAATAAAAGTGGATTTCCATTCAGTGATCGCATGGATATTTTTGCCTCTTGGTATAAAAATGTTCCTGGAATGTGGAAAACCTAAATGTGCCAGGTGCTTATTTCTGAAAGGATGACCGATAACACTGCTGTCAAAATGTATATGCATTTTTGGACGAATTCAATTCTAATGTGTTATTTTTTAACAGTAAAAGAAAAGGATTAAAATTAAAAATTTGTTGTGTACTCACCACTTCTTCATGTTTGCAGTTCCTAACATTTATTCCATTTATCTAATGGTGCAGGGAAAGCAGGAAAGGAAGAAAAGATATTGCTGACAAAGCTAAATTCACTGCAATTATCTGTGGTCAGCAGTATTATGTTAATTCAAAAACCAAACTGCGTACACACCTGAAGGATAGCATCTCCAATAAACAGCAAGCCAGACAGGTCAGCTTTATAAGTAAGACGAGAGAGAGAAAGAAGCCAATGTCAAATTATTTCAATTGGAGATCTAAAAATTAATGGAAAATTAATACAACATATGTCATACCTCTCTGTTCCTTTGAGATTTTTGATATAATCACTGGAATATTGTGTTCAGCTCCACCCTGAAGAAACAGAATTGGAAGATAACATTGAAGATAGAAGATATCAGTGATACTTTCAATCATGACTGATTGTTTAAGTACATTGATATGGGTGATCAATTATAATTACTTTTGTACAGTTAAAATAAAACCAGTGACATTACATGGTTGTGGAAAGTAAATGAAATGAGTTCTTATGGACTTATTTTTGTATTTCATTCAATTTATTCTCTAGATGTGGATATTGTCAGCAAAGCCAATGTTTAATGTCTACCCATAATTTCCAAATCCTATTTATGGGCCTTACTGCTATTTAAAAATCTGGAGAGACGAATGTGGTACAAATGCATTATATGTTCATATTACATGATAGTACACCACAACTTCTGAGCTCTATTTAATGGGCATATATGCAACAAAGTTTTATCCATTTCCCTCATCAATAAATGAGAAGGACTGGGATAGGCTTTTGTTGCATTAACATAATATAATTGTGATGATCCTTGTGATTTACAGAAAAGCCTGCATTTTCTTTTGGAAATGTCCATTTAATTCCATACTGAAACAAGGGACTATTCTGAAAGGTGCTATTGGCATCCTAGCAAGTAGTAGCTAGTACTGAGTAATGTCTAACTGATGTGAGGTTACTATTGAAATAAAACTTAAAAAGCAAAGGGTAAATAGAAATCTAACTAGGAGATTGAATTATAGCTGGTCTCAGAACCTGAAGTTCAGAAAACAGAATTCATATAAAAGAGAGTCACGCAGTCTCTAAAAATAGATCAGTCTTCTATTTGGCAGTAAGATTCTGAAAGGTGTGAACAGCTCAGCAACGCTAACACGTGGACTTTTGTCTCAGAGGGCCTTCACTATGTGTGACTGTTTAGTTGAAAAGAAATTCTGGAGAACCATGACATTAAGACTGTCATGGCCTGAGTGGGAGTGGGTTCACAGACATCCATGTGGTCAGCGTAAACTGCTTTTGGGGGCCTCAGATAGAGCACAGCTACCTGTGAAAGCAACTTGAGGGCCAAATTCATTAAGTGAGAAAGGTGAGAGGGCATATATACCAGAGTCCGAGTTGGAAAGACTGTCTGAAATTGCATAGGCTGCCACATTTGTCAGTGAAGGCATATGAGCACTTATAGTTACATGTGGCATACTTTTGACGTATTGGACGATTAAAGCTAAATTTGCCTTTTTTGTTTGAAATGGCATGTAGCTGTTGACATTTGAAGGAAGGTTTGAAGGAAATGTCGGTTGATAATTACAGTGAAGTTTTCAAATGGACAGCAGGACATTTAAATTCAGATCATTTCAGTGGACATAAACATACATGTCTGGATTTTGCAATCAGGTCAAAACAACAGGACTCACACCTGATCTCAAAAAAAACTGCTCACCAAAATCTAGAAAGGATTTCTAATGTAGCATAGATCTCCCTCTTCCTGATGTTGCTTGGATCTGGTGCCAAGTTAAAAGGATTATCAGATACTCAGAAACAGTGATGTTATCAAATAGCCAATCAAATGTACTTTTTATAAAACTAATGTACTAAAACTAAAACTAATAAAACTGAAGGGTCCCAACCCGAAATGTCAACTTTCCTGTTTCTCTGATGCTGCCTGGCCTGATGTGTTCCTCCAGCTCCACACTTTATTATCTTAAAACTGATGTACAGATGGGATTCAGGTAAAAGTTGAAATATTAAAACCAGAGGAAATCTGACATTTTACAATATAAAATTACATTTTGCAGGACCATAACACTTTCTCAGCAGTGATAACTCAGTAAAAATTAAAAACATGGCACCATTGTATTCAACATGTAAATTCAACATGTATTCAATATGTAAAAGGGCAAATTTCCATCCTTACATACATTTCTTATTGACTGCAATTTGGGGAATCTTCAACAGCGCACCCTGGCAGTGTCATTGACAGTAAATTCTAGATTTTCCATATTTAATAAAGCATATATGGATTATCAAAATTGCTGTCAGCTTCAGAGGAGTAATGATTTGCAAGTTACCATCATTACTATTGCAAAATCCAGGTCAAGGTATAGCAATTCAAAAATCCAAAATCCCAGCTGCAAAAAGTGCATACTTATGATACTTAAGTGCATACTTATTTCATACTTGAATCATTCATGCATTTTTAACAACTGGGAGGTTAAATCTGATCTTGGATTAATAAATCACATTTCTGCCAAACCCATAAGTTCACCCTAACAGTAAGCAGAGTAATAATTGACTTAAATGCAGGCAAGTAATTCTCATTTAATGGAGGCAGAGCTATGTAATTATCTTCTAACTGTTTATGGCGAAAAACAGCAAAACAAATCAAATCTTAGGAAAACATGGTGCAATGCATGTAATGACTTAATAAATCAAACTCAGCTATCCCTTACTTTGGACTGTTCCATCCTACCATGAGATGCTTTCAGAATCTCTTTACCGATACATATCTGTGTGTCAATGGATCTGCCCAATTTTAGATGCTAGAAGACACTCATCAACTGTTCAGGCTGAATGAGATCCACAGCTATGAGCACCATGGCTTCATACACCTGGAAGTGAGTGGGTAACAAAGTAATAATGGCAGTTAAAGATTCACCCCTCATTCATTTACACATATTAACAGGGTTTTGTCCCAATTGCAATATGATTACAGGGACTACCGGGAGAAATAGACTTCCTGGGCCTTTGAAATGTAGTCAATAACTTTATGAAACTTCATAATTACACTTATGCAGAATTCTTCAAAATCTTGCCAGATTTTTTTTTTCTTGATAATTAACAGCATCTACTAAATATTATTAATCTCAGGCCTTCATTCTCAACAAGGCAGAGCTTGCATAAAACAAAAGCAGCAAATTATCTAAGCACGGCCTTTGTGTGAAATATTTTGAGTTCAATAGGGATTGACTTTAGGAAAGATTTAAAGGTTCATTCTATGAATTTCAGCTTTGTTTATTTCATGTTCTCAGTTTGCTTAAAAGGTTTAGCTCCAAAGTAGCTGAACAAAACTGCTGTTGAGAAATTTTGCTTTTGAATGACAAAAGAACCTGTTCAGAAAAGTGCACGGGACTCCAGCCACTTTTTGGCCTGGACTTCCTGGTTGTAACAATACAGTATTTCAGTATTCACTGTCATCACAACTGAAAAATGAATAGCAATCTCTAGCATGCACATATGTACGGTTAAACGTGGAAATCCAAAATTGGGTGCAGTGATTTTCTGCTCGTTCACATTACTTGATTTAGTCTGAAATTTCACTTTTTACACCTTTATTATCACTGGAAAACGAAACCCTAGAAATATTAAAATTGTTAAAAGATTTTTTTTTAAAGAAATCGCAAACTAAGTTTTAATTTCTGATCAACATTCTCTCTGTCCCTGAAAAGCTAGCGATATAATTGTGGGATGTCAAATTTCTCCAATTATGATTAAAAAAATTCCATTGATGGCAATATCTATTTTATAAGTGATTGTTATTAGACTTAGATATTTCAATGGAAGTTGTATGCCATGACCATGTGGGAATTCTGACTCGGCTCACTTTGAGGGAACTGCCTGAGAAAGTGAATATTCCAATGGGAATTTCCCTCCATTTAGTACCATCTGAACAAAAAAGCTCCTTAAAGTCAGAGAATTTAAGGGTCCTGACTCAGTTATGCTTACTAGTCACGTAGGAGAAGTTAGTGCATTTAGCATATTCCAACTCCAGAGCTTGTTAAGCAAAGATATTCAGGGAAACGGCCCAAAGGCAGTTATATGGTGTTAGACCACAGATCAACAATGGCCTTATGGAATAGTGGGTCAGGCTCAAGTGGTGGAATGGCCTATTCCTGTTCCTATATTCCTAATTATTAAATTACTCACCAACCAATCAATAATCCTTCTCACCGCAATAACGCCAATCACCTCCCAACCTCTCATTTGGACTGAATCCCATCTTTTTGGTCTAACAACACTCCTGACCTGACTGAAACTGATTCTTTATCATGTCCCACCTCCACCTCCCTTCTAACCATACCCACATCCTGATTAGACCAGCACCTCACACCCACCCCTTGCCCAACCCCACTACTTCCTGTCCCATCTACCTCTCCTAAACGTTCATGTACTTTGCACACCAGCCCACACCCTCTATCATTTTAACACCTCATTCATCTGGCACACTATCGTCTTAATTGTCCGGCACCCTGCACACTTCACCCACTTGACAGCCTACTCACTTGTCCCAACTGTCACCACACCCTCTTGCCTCCCTTGTATTCTGCCCACCTCACCCATGTGACACCCATCTTCCAGCCAAGCCTCTTATCCAACTGGCACATTAATACCTCAACAACCTGCCACCCACTCCTGTTACCTATCAGGCACAGTACACCATTAGCTACCCACCAGCGATGTGATCTCGCACTGACCTCACACACTGACCTTTCTTCAGGTGCTATCAAAGTAGGTGTGGGACCTTCAATAAACTTATGTATGGTAGTAAGTGCCATAAAAAGAGGTGTGTATTATCCTGCAAATCTGCTGTTATGTTGAGTAGATTTCTCTCTGGTTTCTTCCACTGAATGCATTTGGATTGGGTCAGACTTGGAATTCTGGCCAGAAGATTTGCTGATTTAGGTGGGCAGTCATAAAGAGGATTACCGTTATTTGAATTTATTCTGTTGGTAGTCAGGATTTCTGGGCTGCTTTTTGAGCTTCTACCTTAATCCCATGTGTATGTCCAAGTCTTTATTTTGCTCTCTGTAAGATAAAAAGTGAACTATAAGAGGTTCTATTTACCTTCTCTGACTGTTGTTGACATAAAGTTTTGTTGTTGGATGCCGGTGATTCCCAGAGATTTGGCACTACCATTCAAATTAACGTGTGGAAAGGGGAAATCCACATCACTCAGATTGCCAGATCTTTGTGGACAGTTTTCTTCAAAGTCAACAGCAAGTAATTTTAAGAGAAGATAGACAGATTTTTAATTAGCAATGGGTTAAAGGGATATGGATAA